TGTGTCCCACGCACAAATCCTTGTCTGCTGGCGGAACTGGAGAAAATGCCTCGGAGTTTGGTGCTAACGCACTTGGAAATACAGAGGAAAGAAACACAAGGGGAAACCCCAGTTTTCGACGGCCGTGTTATAGAGACTGCACAGATGTGCAACGACAGGCTTCGGTTTGTCTCGTGTCGCGCCCATGCGGTTTCACTCGAACGAACCCACCGCCTCCAGTTGTACAGCTCGCTCAAAACGCTCGCATGCGACGAGACGCGTCTGATAATTAGCAACATTACGACGCTTGCCTAATGAAGCCGTACCAAGCTGTGCTGCGAGCGTGTCTCATTGGCTCGAAAGATAATGTAATGTCATGATTCTGCCATTTTTTTTCATTTCTATTCAATTCAGTTCAGTTTATTCAACATCTGAAACATTTTTCGTGCACAGACAAAAAAGCATGAAAATGCGCTTATTTCGATAATTATCATAATCGTCATCGTTATATTGAACGCCATCGTCATTACTGTAGCAATCATCATCATTGTTTAGATATTGTCACCTTTTTCTTTATTTATGATATATTCATTCTCCCCATGGCTACATGACCTTCAGTCGCTGCCTTCTATGACTACTACTAGTGCAGCTACTACTACTATTACTGCTACTACTACCCTGAGTAGTTCTACTACTACTACTAGTAGTGCTACTACTACTACGGTTACTACTACTACTACTACTACTGCTAGTTGTTCTACTGCTACCACTGCTACCATTACTGCTACTACTACTACTGTTAGCAGTTCTACAGCTACTACTACTACTAGTGCTACTACAAATGCCACTTCTGCTAGTAGTGCTACTACTGCTACTAGTACTACTAATATTACTGCTACTACTGTCATCAGTAGTTCTACTGCTACTACTAGTAGTGCTACTACTACTACGGTTACTACTACTACTACTACTACTGCTAGTTTTTCTACTGCTACCACTGCTACCATTACTGCTACTACTACTACTGTTAGCAGTTCTACAGCTACTACTACTACTAGTGCTACTACAAATGCCACTTCTGCTAGTAGTGCTACTACTGCTACTAGTGCTACTACTACTAGTGCTACTATACTATTGCTGGTGATACTACTACTACTACTACTACTACTAAATGTATAACCTTTCCAAAAATGACCAATCCTTGCCTCCGAGAAGCGCCATCATGTACCGCAAACCACGAACATAATTATGTGGAACGCCAAGTTGGTGTTGTCTAAGATGTTCCCCTGTCACGTGGCAACAAGTACGTATAGGCAAAACTGAGATGTGCCTTAACGACAAGCTCAGACAACATTGCAACAATGTAAGAAATGGCAGAGAGGGTCACCTGGAAATGCATTACAGAGATTGCAAGTGTGTACTGGATTTTTGCGCATTTTCCATGATTGCCAAGAGTCGAGACAAGGGGAACAGATTAATCGTTGAGGATAAAATATTACTGAACCCGGTGATTTTCGAGTGACGGTTGCCTCCTTATCTTTAACTCAGAAAGAGTTGCGATTTATCAATGCGACTTGACAGCCACGACACGTGAGAACACTGCGTGAATAACTGGCACCAGTTTTATTTTTTATTGGAATAAGCATCGTTCGAAGTGACGTCCTATGTGTTTGTGTCTCTCTTTTCGTCCGTCGTCTTCTTGGCGCCTTCTATTCCGAATAACACTACACCAACCCGCCCAGTTGTGCACGCTGGCATGCGACAACGATGACGGCAGAGAGTAGTCTAATACCGATGCCACATGATGCACTTCTGATCTGGTCAAGATAAGCTCATTTGTGATCAAATTGCTCTGCAATCATTGAATCCTTTCCGGAGCTTGAGTAATTGATTAATATGTGGGGTTTAACGTCCCAAAACCACCATATGGTTATGAGAGGCGCCGTATAGTGGAGGGCTCCGCAAATTTCGACCACCTGGGGTTATTTAGCGTGCACCCAATTCTGAGCACACGGGCCTACAACATTTTCGCCTCCATCTAAAATGCGGCCGCCGCAGACGGGATTTGATCCCGAGACCTGCGAGTCATGAGACGAATACCTTAGCCACTATACCACCGCGTTGGGGTGAGCTTACGTAAAAAAGTCAATCCTGATCAAATAAGTTTGATCAGGACTAGACGCGATTGCAGTCAAAACTTTTACCGTTTAATATCTATGCGAGGCAACTTCGCTTGAAAAAAAAAAAAAAAAGACTCCAGCCCAAAAGCCCGTTTCGATATGGTTGTTACAGAGAATGCACATATAGCAACGACAGGCTCTGGTTGTCGCGCGCCGCGGCACTGGCGTTTCTCGCGACGGATCGCGTCTCCCTCGTAATACAGCTCGCTCGAAATCCTCGCTTCACACGAGGCAGTGCCGGCTAATTAGCAATGGAAGACGTTTGCCTAATGAAACTGTCCGAAGGAGGTGCCTCGCATTTTTCAAACTCTTCGGTGCGAGATGGGGGTGACGAAGAAACAAAAGGCAAGAAACGTAACCGAGAGAAATCGTTTCTTTCACGGAGGAACGGAATAAATCGATTCGTGTATGCGCCGTTCGGGCCGCAAGGTATGCAAGATATATGACGAGAAGGTGCTCGTAGACAGCTTGTAGAGTCCTTGCTCATATTTTATGTGCAAGAGCGGAGGGGCGTCGCTTCGGATTCGAAACAGATTAATAACGCACCGGGAAACGATGACGTCTGACGTCAAGGACGAAGTTCTGGCTTAATTACGAAAGTTCTGACACAAAAACGAAGAATGTTCGGAGTGGGGTGTTACCCGACGAACGTAATGGACAACATAGTTGCGCTTAGGTTTGTCAGCGTGAAACGTTAACGATATGGTTTTGGTACACAGTTTATTTCTTGCAACGCTTTTCTCTTCTTGGCACGTCGATTAACCGGCTTGATAAACCGTTGAGCTGCTTTGTTTGCGAGTTGGCGTGGCTCGTAGCACCTGCAGTGCTGCTCGTTAATATCTTGTGGTAGGAGCAAACTTGACAGTCTAGTCAACATGTTTAGTCTGGTTAACACACTTACGTAAGCACAAAAAAGGTAATCATTAACTTACGCAGTGTTGAAACTAATTTACGCGTCTATGAAGTGCTAGTGCGATTTGATACCATCTAAAGGTATTTTAGGATGTCCTGAGGGCAATGTCAACGCACGCCTACAATCGTGGCAGGTTTTCAGCGGTGTTTACTCAGTGTAAGTGCTTATGAAAGCAGGAAAAAAACTCGACACACTGCGGAAATTTGTTGTACACGCGTAGGTAGTTAGCGAAGATCACAAAAGCTTGTGAAAACTTCGATTGGAACTTGGTTAACTGTATGTTACCTGATGTAGAAAAGGCCTGGCTGGGGGAGGAGGGCGACGACTCACTCTGGTTCGCTAGCGGTTTGCTGTTCCTACAGTGAGGGGAGGGGGTCCAAGAATAACTAGAAGGAAAAAAATTACGGCATCCGCATCGTATGACCAGCTAGAAGTGATTGGCCTTTTTAACTAGGTCAAGATTGTCGTTTGCGTAATAAAAACGCCAGGGGGCATTTATTCCCCTGAAGAGAGTGCTTTGCCGCATAATGGACGCAGTTGAGGCTCTGCACCCGTTACAGGAAAAAAATGCGGCGTTGAAGAAGGTTGGAAATGTTGCAGGTATTTCTACGGCGTTCACGTTTTACAAAAATACAACGTTCTGCTTTGCTGCGTGACACTACTTTCTTGTCACTGTGGCACGGAGTTTTTTTCTAAAAGACTGTGCTTGCCTAATTATTTCGCATTTTCACGCATTGTTTTGGTGGTTGATCCGTGGAGTAGCGTTCATTTTCTGTGGTATGTCTAGTGGACACAATGCAGAGAAAGCAACGAAAACGTTTTCTGGAGTTGCGTAAGAGACTCTGCTGAAGCCTCGAATACAGAATAATTATTGTCCTCATTTGTCGTAAAGAATAAATGGATGCTCCACCATTATAGGCTTCTTTGATGTACTGATCTTGACGAAAAGTGATGAGAGGGGCTGTGATATATGTCTAACGTGTATGCTGTAGATGCTGCCTTACGTTTAGGAACGTGATGACGTTGGTAGTTAGTTCACTATAAGCGAACATGTTCAAAAGCGAGGAGACTGCCAGCGCATCAGTGCTAGCGAGAAGTTTGCGTCGTCACTGGCTGCCATTGTCATGGTGGGTTCCATGACACACATAATGAGTGGCCACCACCTTCAGCACTGATAGTGATTTGACTGGCTCTTGGCATCTTGTTCACACCGAAAAACAGTCGTGCAACGCCAGTTGACGAGCATACAAAGGACGGAGGAGCTATTAAAACATGGGCCTACCCGACAACAAACACGACCAAAACTTTGGTATATGTACACATAGCTTTGCGTCTTTTGTTATGTTCGTTCACGTGTTTTGTTAGATAAATCGTCTGTTTCAGTTCAGTGGCACCAGCACCGAGCGACACTCTCGTCCTTTTTTGCAGCACTTGCGGTTGATCACTAACTTCTGGTTTTCTAATGCTCCAGAAAAAGTCTTGTAGAAAATAAATATTGCCTGAGCTTGATAGTTCTGGTTCAATTGAAGTGTCATAATGAATACGTACAATATGGCAGCACGAGGTTTAATTGAAGTTGACCAATTAACTGCCATGATAAATGCCAGAATAAACAAGTGCACCAATAGAGCAGCTAGTTTTGCTGGGAGCAGATGGAATTGTTGCGACACCTGGCGGAGTAGATCTCAACCGTGCTCTTCTTTGTACATGGCTCCTGTGATCTGCTCTTACAGCGCGACTAAAGTGCATGTTAACCCGAGGAATACACCAGGGCACAGGAACACAGACGTGCGAGTTACACTACCAGACACCTAAGTCAATGCCTAGAGTCGCCTCCAAGTTTTGTTTCAGTGATTACAGAGAAAATTTCGCGCCGACATTTACTGGCTGTCAGCTATTGAACTGCCGAACACTTGGCATTGGTGCAGTCTTGCAACAAGGGGAACCGGAACCGGAGAACCGGCACAAGGGCGAGGCCCCCACCGTCTCGGCCAGTGACGCCAAACAGAGGACCACGAGCAGTGGCGCTGGATACCTGAGGCAAACGCCACTCATGCGGAGACGAATGCACGGAAACTCCATCAACACTCCGGGAAGCCAGATGAGGCCCGCCCGCCCGGACGAAGGATCAGCCGGAGATACTGGTGAGATACAATTTCTATGCAATGTACAGATTGTTTATCTAGCGCTAGGATGTATATAGATTTTTCTTGTTTTGTTTTGCACAGAATTCCCGGATCTTTCGCCGAAAGCATGCCCATAAGAAGATAGAGAAGATATTTGCATGCTGGAAAACCTTGCATGTATTTAGTGCAGTGTCGGTTGCAGGATATTGCAGTCGCGTACGTCAGATGATAGTGATGATGATCGTAATAGTGGTGATCGCCGTGTTTTGTTTGATAGAATTTGCCGCCAGTAGTTGACTGTGTTTATAGTTAAGGAAAGCTTTCTGTTGACCTTCAAAGCTATAGCTTAGCCGAAAGCAACGCTTGGGCCTACGTACATCGAAGTTACGTTAATCAAGACCACAGAAACCCATTTTTGCTGGGATTGTCCAAGCAGGAGCTAGCTAAAAAATAGTATAGTCGTAAAAAAATATTTCGAAAACAGTTTAATGAGCGCCCTGTAATAGGACAACAGTCATAAGAGCAAGTATAATATTGAAGAATATGGCGAAATAGACACAAAACATGTTGGTAGCTGCTACTTTACCTGTCTTCTAGACGGGTTGGCTTCATTTAGCTTACGTTTTATTCTTTAAAAATATGTGAGGGGTAGTAAACATTCTCGCTGCTACTTGTGGTGGGCAAATTTCGCAGAGGTGATCTTTGGAGTGCGTTCTGATCGTAATGATTTAGGGGCGGGGCGGAAAGAATGCGGGAGGCATACAGCCCCTCCTCATAATTGAGACGCACGCTGTAGAAACAGCCTCTGTTTTCTGAACACGTGCATGACGTTTTAACCTCGTGTTTTAGGTAGGCATGTTCATAGGACAAGTTGGCTGGTTGTTTTCAATGTATGGGATGATACAAGAGCTATATAGTTCCCAAACCTGAAGTTCATTTATCTTTGCTGGGCTGTTAAGAACAGTGGACATGGTATGCTAGAAGGAGAAGAAAATGAGATGCGGTGCATGGCACCAGAACCTTGGTTCTTTTCGCTGCCGCTTCGTGGGCAATTCTGCGTGGTGGGATGTGCCAATATTCAGTAAACCGCCATCATCGTCATCATCATCATCATCATCATCATCATCTTTTCGCAGAGATAAGCGGCAGTGTTCAGACGAGCTGTTCAAAGTTGTTGAGGCATATTTTCCTTAAACCCGGTACATCTAGAAGGAAGTGTTCAATTTTTACATGAGCCTCACGACTGTCCCATAACCCTTCCTTCTCCGTTTGCCCTTCTTATTGCGAGATGTGTTAACCCGAACCGTGATACATCTACTCCATCTCCCGACTCTTCCCGTATCTATCTAGAGTACGAGAACAACGTGGATGTCATCCTGGGCGAAGACGCCGACCTGTCTCGGCAGCAGCAGCAGCATCGCGGCGTCGGCGCCAGCCAGTTGTCCCGCTCGGCGGGTCACAAGCGGGCTTCGCAAAGCGGCGCTGAAGCAGCCGACGGTTGGCAGGGTGACGACCCAGGTCCGGCTGCGGCATCGGGGGAAGGCGACCGGCAGCGTTCCTGGCAAGAGGACGACCCTTGGTCCGAGGATGCCCCGTACCCGTCGGACAAGCAGCGTAGGCGCCGTGGACCGGCCACCGAGGCCGGCGGAGAGGGAAGCCGCTACGAGCCTCCTCTCAACACGATCGCCATGACGACCGTGGCCACCACCGGCGACGTACGTGTTTCCTCCCGCTATATGTGCTTGTTAACAGTGTCACGAGTTTATTCCATGCCCTAGTCGTTTGATTTTTTCTTAACTAAGAAGTGTTGTATGCCGGGGACTGCGGTCCACTAAGACTTCACAGACACTTCCGTGACGAAAATGCGTCAGTAAAATACATATGAAAACAAAAAACTAGGAGATTTTTTTCATAGAATCAGATGACTTGGGAGTCTTCTCAATATGGGACAATAGGTGCCGTGTGCTCAACCCACTGCGCTACCAGCGCACATGCAAACGGTTTCACGAAAGCAGATTATATCTCTCACACCTCTCTCTCACAGTGCTTTGAGTTGGTGGTGGGTAAGGAGGAAGAAAGTGGAGGCTTCGTAGTATGGGAGTTCTGCAAAGTGCTGCATCATCACACGTCACAACGCAAACCACAAGTCTGTATCAGTGATACACCAGTCACCCTTCGTGGAACAGAAGTACTATTTCCTTTTAGAGCACGGCTAAATAAAGATAGGACACTTTCCTCATTTGGCGTGCATTTTTCCTGTATCTATTGTTTCCCTTCCTTGCGCTGCGTTATCACCTTTCAAACAAAAATATTTCCGCCTATTTCAATAACCTCCATAACGGGTGGGATCCCAGGTCTAGCGTGGCATTATCTTATTCCGATATACTACAGCCATTATTGGGAAGTTGTTGATTCACCAGTACCGCATTAGACACTGAGAAACATGAGTATACTCTCATTAGTTACGCATGTGATAGAGGTTGTTTTTATCGTTAATTCTTTTACGAAAATGTAGTGCTGAAGATGCAGTAGTAACTTTATCTTATCACAAACAATTGCACTACTTATCAGCCTTATCTATTTTCACGTTTTGATAGTACCGCCACAATGTATGGGAGGCAATGTAATAATTCACATGGTTCGCATAAAACTTTCATCTGCCACAGTTGATAAGGTTTGATCAAAGTTTTGAAGCTTGCAAAGCAGTATAACTGGAGACAATAAGCATATACCATTTTTGTAGGGGCCGCTCCTACTCGAAGATACTACGATTTGGCAGTGCACTGTGGGACAAAATCGAAGGTGTACTTCGGAGCAGCAGTTCGGTAGGAAATATACGAAAGTTTAGAAATCGTCCTGTTTAAAACACGTATACACTGCACAAGCACGAAAGTCAAAGATATTTGACTCAGCTAAGCCAGAACAATCTATGAATAAATAAAGGGACTTATGACTGGCTTTTATAAAACTCCCAAAGTCTGCGAGTTTCAGCGTTCAAAATCATGCCTATTGTGCACGCAGCAGAAAAAAAAGGCAGCAAAAATAAGGCGAGAAAGAAATGTAATCGCTGGTCTGAGAGCAGTGGTTATAAATTCCGAAAAACGGAGCTTTAGGAAAAAGGCAAGCACTACGCATTCACGGAAAAGAGCGCTTAAGTGGTTAGGAAGAGTTACAAAACAGAACAGCAATAAATAAAATAGATAATTATATCGCCAAGTTTCAGAGTCTTTCATTTGGCTTGCGCCGTCTGTGCTTATCGCTTGTGCCACCACAACGGCGTCCGTGTCGCTCGCGATTAGTTTTTGCCGCGTTACGCAAGAAAGGACAAACAGTTTACGACACCGTCCTGGATAAAGCCACCGCGCTTTAAAGACCCGTATCTCGATCCGAAATGCTACAATATCTCGGGGGCACCCATAAAGATGGGCCACGCTGACTTTCACGTCTAGTAGCAAAAAAGAAAAAAACATTTTGGTTAGCATTACGTACTATGTCTCGTCGATGAACCATTGGTCAGCTATTACACGGATTTGTTACTGGATTCCCGTATGCTTTGTGCCGATGGTTTACGACACTCCGACGTTCGGAACGGCCGCTTGCGTTGCGAAAGTCTCGTGCAATCGCGTCAAATCCACTAATGTGAAATCTGATCAGGGTTATTACTAATATCTACAGATAGAAGTACTTTGACAACAGCGGTCCCCTTTAATATGGTCTTGCTAGCTTAAAATGCACTTTATTACGCGAATCTGGCGTATAACGTTTTACGTATTTTCTTAGTATTTCTTGGTTAAATGCTGTATGATGATAAGGTACTCTGAAACTGTAAAGCCGTGTTATTGTGCAGTGGTGACACCCTTTGTTGAACAGTATGCTATTTGGAGTTACTGTATATACTAACATTAGGTAGCATATATATGGGTCCTAAAAGAGCCATATATATGTGGCATACTGGCAAAGTGTATAGTGTACATGACTCCTAAATGAGCAATTTACAGTTACTACACACAGTGCCCTATAACGGCATACAGGCACTGTGTTCAGTCACTGTATATAATTTCTAAAAGAGTCATGTACAGTAGCTTTGCATAGTGCCGGTGTAACGCGCAGCATGTATTTCGTCGTATTCGTATCTGTGTGAACCTTTGTTGTACGGTATTTCTCAGATCAGTGATTACTCTTTTTAATGAAATAATCACCCCTACCTTTGAGCGTTTATTTTATTATCTTCTAAAGTACTGTACTTATATACCAACAAAATGAGCGACCAGAGTTAGATTAGGGTGTCTAGCAGAGAATATAGGTCTAGTGTGCTCTTTGTGCAGCTGTAGTATAAAAAATGATTACTACTTCCAATTTCAGCCTAACGCTGCTTCTGCTCGTATCAGAGGTAGTAAAGCAAAACTGGATTAATGTTGGCTGCTAAACCACGTCGCACGTAGAAGCCATTCTTTCATGGGATGCGAACACAATGCGGGAATTATTTCTGCCTGGTCGTTTGTTTTAATCAATGTTCATGGCAGAGACGACATTATTCACTCATTTTTGCCCATAACACGGTGTGAGCTTATAGAAAACATTCTCGCCTAACGACTGCGTTAACCAAACAAACGATCGCGGTAACGACGTTAAATCTTTGTCGTGATCGCTGGTTCAGCTAAGTCGGTCGTTAGGTTATTGTGCGGGAACGTTGTTATTGACGGCTGAACTTTGCTGTTGTGAATGGATATTTTCACGCACAATTTTCGTATTGCTTCATGATTTCTGAAAACTTCATAACCCAATATTATCGAAAGAGAACAGGAGCAGCCCAAGCCATACGTAGGCAGCAGCTTCTGTTTAACACTTGCTAAAAAGAAAAGAAGTCGATGAACCATTTTGAGGAAACAAAATTGAGGTGTCGTGTGGATCATTTCCCATCGTTTCTTTTTTTCATACGCATTCTGAATAGAGGTAATCTACACCAGGGGCATCAAACACGCTTCCCGTGCTTTCATCGCTAGTGGTTCAGACTGTGCTTCCATCGAAATTTTTTCCCTTAATGAGCATGTCAATAAGCTACGCAGGCATAACTGGTCTGAAGCATTATCCTTTACTTAGGCACCCCATGCGGTCACCTTGTGGCCAAACATAACTGTTGAACAAACACTCTATATCCATAATAAACGTCAAGAATTGAGCCATGCTGTTCATCGCTAATTCCGTTTGCAGAATGATCCCGAGAATTCTCATTCACGATTGATATACGAGATATGGGAGGCCAGGCCTAGCGCTATACTACATTTAGCGTATGTTTCTCGCTAGCTGGGGGGAGTCTGACACCCTTGATGTGTGCTCTCTGATTCACTTTTACATTTGGTGGCTGGAAAGGGGCCTTGGTTATGAATCGATACACCCCTTGTCTATTCGTCGTCCTAATTTTCTTTGCCCCACAGTATAGGTAGCGAACCGGACACACGTTTGATTGACCTTCCGTCTTTCACTTTCCTCCTCCTCTCTCTCAAGCGAATTCAAAAGCAAAACCATTTCCTCTCCCGCTTATTTTTTTTTCAGCCCGTTTTATCAAGAAACTGCTGTTGTGTCAACTATTTTATAACTGATGTTTGAAATGGGGGGTTTAACGTCCCCAAAACACCATATCATCGTGAGAGACGCCGTAGTGGAAGGCTCCGAAAACTCTGACCACCTGGGGTTCTTTGATGTGCACCGAAAGCTAAGCACACGGGCCTACAGCATTTAGGCCTCCATCGAAAATGGAGCCGCCACAGCCGCGATTAAATATCGCGTCCTGCAGGTCAACTATAGTAATCGTGAATCCGTTCTTATTGTAAAGCTTGCATATCTGTGATCTTCTGCCAGCAGGAGTCGGTGCCGGCTCCAGGAATGACGTCGCCGTGCCAGCAGCTCTCCTGCTCGAGGACGGGCCGTTGCGTCCAGGACGAACGAACGGGCAGCGTGCGATGCGCATGCGCTCTCGGCTACACGGGCGCCTTCTGCGACCAAGGTGCGTCATGCTTTCACACGATCGCAGCCCTGGATGAATTTTCTTTCTGCGATTGATATCGCTAACTCGCAACATACTAGCACTCCCAATACCCCAGCGTTGTAAGAACTTGAGAGTGTTTGAGGACTTGAGGTTGTGTTTTTGTTGCGCCAAAGAAGGGCATTTCCCGCACTTTTTTTCAATATCAATATACTCTTGTAGGAGAGTCGTGACACCCGAGAGAATCTTGGCATGCATATTTAAGTAGATTGTATTTAAAAAGCATGTCTTTTTAGCCTGGGAAATCAAGAATCACCGAAAAAAGTAACAAGTTTTTTTTCTCTCTCTCTTTCAGAATGTTTAATGCAATAACGCAGTTTTGAAAGGATGGCAGTGCCACTGCCCGACTGTAACCAGGCGTGTGCCTCTTTGTGCGAATGTGGCGCTTACCATGTTTCCTTTTTCCCCTTTATTTATGTTTCTCAATCTTGCAGGAAGGCTGGGATTTATTTTAAAGTCAATGTCGCTGACGAGAAGACATTTCGAGACGACTTGTCGTAGACATGCACTTCTTCTTGAAATGTTACGACGTTCTCTGATAAATTAACGCTTATCGCCTTATGCGAATTAATCACGTGAAGATCACATAGTACGAGTGCAGAGATTTCGCATTAGAGCATGCTTTCTTGAAAATCTTTTGAATTCACTGGGACAGGAGTCTAAACCACGCGGTGGCCCGTGTCTCCACAAAGAATGAAATCTTTGTGACATTGCTAATGATACTCGCATTATTTACTCACCTGTTGTGCTCAGTAGCACGTTGTTCGGGCAAGATAGAGAGCCGGGACTGTTATCAAGTATACTTTCTCTTTGTGAGGCACCCCAAGGGGCCACTGTGTGAGGAAACACAACCATGCGGAAAAAATCTGTATGTGATGATGAGTACACATATGTTTCTGGAATTCTGCCGCCTAAACTGCTTGAGAAATGATCCAACTATGCGATATGGAAAATGCGTTTTTTTGTTTTTTGAATGGCAGTCCGTCTTTACTCGCAGACGCTGCCTGCGTCGGCCTTTCGAGATGAGAGAGGGGGAGGGGGGGGCGAGAATTGGCACGAGACGCGAGCATGCGCTGTTGGGGTGTGGACGGCGCCGCCACCGCTGCCGCCAAAGCGTGACATCGTGCGACTGATAAATGCTCTGCATTTTAAAAATTGGCATCGTATCTGCACGTTTCACTGCAAAAGTCGTCGAAAGACGGTAGCCTTGCGTCTGGATGGAGTAAATAAAACGTTTATTTAATGTCCTGGGCGAGAAAATTCATGAATGGGATTCTGGAGGCGCTGCGGCTGCGTTTACGCTTCGTCTGACATGAGCGCCATCTGGCCGTAATCTTTGAAAATGCAAGGATGGCCTCCGATATAGACGGTTTCAAGGTCACAAGCGTTGTACTAAAGAAACTTCCGGTCTTCTCGTATACCAGCTCTTAACGTTGAAACGGAATGCACGTTTTTAATTTCTTTTCAAGCGTAAGGAAAGTCTCTCTCGTTTTTCACATAAATGAATCGTGCGTGAAGTTTAAGAGCATGTTTTATAAATTTTACGTAGCTCAAAAGAACATTTATTTGAATGTATTTTGCCTAAAAGTGGAAGGAATTTTTGTAAAATTAGCGGGCTATTTTCTAAAACTTTGTGGTCCTTCAATGCTATTGGTGCACACCGATGCACAAAACCGGATGTCACCAAAGGGTTGTGGCAGCGTGTGCGGGTTATTTTGGAGACCATAACTTGTAGAATGCAAAGTGATGGGTAGGTTCCGTCACCGTATTTCGTACTAGCAAAGCGCAGAGAAACCCGCCTTTTCGTGCATTGAGTGGCATTCTCAGTGCAGCGTAATAAATAATACGTTCTTTATAATTACTAACGTATGCTTTGTACGGTATAAGAAAATATGCCACAGATATTGACATGTTGAAGTTGTGGCCAGGTACGTGAAATATTTACCTTCAATCGAAAATATGCCCTAGTATGAACGCCGAAATCAGATCAATATTGGTGGGCGCTGTGGATGCGGTTGAATTTCAGTCATATCGGGTGACGCACAGGGAAGTTGTCTGGGAGAGCAAATTTTTTTCGACGAAGTGTACCAAGAGAGACCATCGTCATTAATAAATGTTTGGCATAATATTAGCTCAAAGAACCGCCGTAGCCGGTTTTTTTTTGAACCCGGGTCGGTGGCAACCCTACAATAAATAGGGTTCCTTGCGCACTAAAAAAAAGTAACTGTAAGGAGCAAGCCAACATTTTTTTTTATTTCAACCGATGTATAAAAAAGCAAGAAACGCGGGTCACTGCCAAGGGTCTTTTTTTTTTTTTGAGGTGCATTTTCGGGTTTTGTTCGCTACAAACGGCATCACGTGGCTTTAATTCACATGGAAGCATGCCACAACGTGTGACATCACGATGACGTCACAGTATTTGGCGATCCGTGACATTACTATGACTTGATATGGTGACGTCATCCCGTTACGATGATTTTTTTTTTTGCTTCACTTGTCCCCAACACCATGGGAAGATTACCATCGATGGTAAAATTCCCCGTCTCATGAGACATGCAAGGTCTTCGCCTTCGAAACTCATTTACTGTGATCATTGCATTGTTACATGAAAAGGGGTTCACGGTCCTCTTATATGCGCTCACTCTAAATAGCTAGCGGGTTTTCCTGTCATATGCGCCAGAAGAGTGTTCGCATTGATCTGTGGCAATTAAGCATTATTCACTGGATGGATGCACGCGCAGAAGTGGACCTGCGACGTCCCCGCTTTTCCGGTTCGTCGTACCTGGCCCTGCCGACGCTGCGGGACGCGCACAAGTCGATGCAGATCACGCTCCAGTTCCGGCCGGAGACTCACGACGCCCTGCTCCTCTACTCCGGAGAGACAGCGGAGCTCCAGGGAGACTACTTCGCCATCCTGCTGTCCAAGGGCTTCGTCGAGTTCAGGTTAGTGGAGCACCGAGAGAGAGAGAAAAATAATGCTGGAAGGGTAGTTAGCTCGGCTGGTTGACACAAATTTATCGTTGTAAACAGCGGAAAAGACGGGACGAGCCACGCAGCAAGGATTGACAAGAAAAAGTGGTGATAGTAACACAGTTTTTTACTTAAAGTAATAAAAATAATACTAGTATCAAGAGTGCTACTATTATTACTACTACTACTGCTACCGCTACTACTACAACTAATAATAATAATAATAATAATAATAATAATAATAATAATAATAATAATAATAATAATAATAATAATATTAATAATAATATATTAATAATAATAATAATAATAATCATTTTAACAATAATAAAATAGTAGTAATAATAATAAGTGACAATTTCGAGCTCCTTCATATTTTTTGTGTGCCTTCTCCTGTTTTCTGCATTTAAATGCAATAAAATGTAAGGATATGCAATCTGTTATAATAATATGTATTATTATTACTAATATTATTATTATTATTATTAATATTATTATTATTACTACAATTATTACTATTATTATTACTACTATTACTACTATTTTTACTATTGTTGTTGTTGTTGTTAAAAGGGAAAGGGCACGAAGAAAATATGAGCAGGCTGAAAATTGCCGTCTAAATACTGTCCTGTCACGGTACCGTGACGTCAAAGATGAAAACTATTTATTTGGTCAAACTTTTGCTCGGTGAACGAAAACTCAGATTACAGCAATACGCACTGACACTGATAGCGGCGAACAGAGCGTCGGTTGTTGATCAACTGACGAGTGGTGAAGCGCGTCGGCATTCATACATGTGGCGTCCAATGTTCCAGCGTTATCTCTTACGGCCACGTAAGTAATAGAAGAATCTGTTGTGTTCGCATTGTGTGTGTAGTCTTGACAAAATGATCTACTAAAATAGTGAAGCTTCTCCAAAACTCAATTGATTGATTGATTTTTATGGGGGGTTTAACGCCCCGAAGCCACCATATGATTACGAGAGACGCCGTAGTGGAGGACTCCGGAAGTTTCGACCACCTGGGGTACTTTAATGTGCACCCCAAATCTCATTCTCGAACACTGAGTTCTGATTTGCACTGACCATTCCTGACAGACTTTCTGGGCGTGAACCGAATACTGCAAGCTCAAAATTAGGAATTACGTGTGGCAATATTCGCAATGGCTGCTGCGCGTTTGGAAAGCTAAGGTGGTAAAAATAGTATAAGATAGGAAAAGAGGAAAGTAAAACAAATAACACATACCATCACAGAAATAAGCAGTAAGATAGAAAATTACCTTCAAAGGCGAAGCCAAATTGGTTTTTTCATGCAAGGTATCAGTGCTCAATAAGCCTGGTCGCGCCAAGCAACGATTCCCTTTAACAGGTATGAAATGCGAACCGTGTGCACTTAAGTCTAGCACATCCGTATTTCGTGATGAACAGTGCCCGAGGTCCAATGAATATGTCTTACTTCAAAATAATTAATTCAAGTGCCTTACACGAGTCACAAGGCGAACGCAATAAGCTGTACACACGTACTCGCCAATATAACTGTTTGTGCATTAATGCAAAGCCATCTATCACCTTAAATAAAAAAACAGGCGTGTCCTTAAAGCGAATGACCGTGCAGAGCATGCTGAAAAAATTTTACCGACCCTTCCTCACGAGTTCGAAAATGCACGCAAAGCACCGTGCTTCATATTCTCCCAAGAAGTGATATTTCTTTGTCTTGAAACGTTGCAAACGCCTGACTCGCACATTCTTAAGAAGCCTTGAAGATGTGTGCCGCCTGAACAATTTTATGGGCCCTATGGCTCCTGCAGCTGTACAAAATAGAAGCGGCACCAGAGCTGCGATACAACTACAATGCCGGCAATGCAATGAAAAATTTGAACTTGCCGGGCCATCCTGGGAATTGTGGTGCTTACTTAATCGCACGCTGATGCATAGCTCACAGTGGCCCACATATGCGCATTACACAACAGGGGAATAGAGCGCACAAATAGGAGGTTCTGAGATACGTATAACTATGAACATCCATGACAGTACAACCCACCCTTGTACTTTTTCTAGTCAAATCTTTCTGTGTGCGTAGTCGAGTTTCTTGCACTGTTCATTGAGATGAAAAATCAGAAGCAATGTAAAGATGTTTGGATGAGGTAAGGCATGCAGAATTGTGGCTAATAAAGCGATTCCAAAAATAAACATTGACTTCAGCCTTCAATTGACAGCAGTCTGTCAACATTTTTAACACCTTCATAGGTGACTGAATACACTGGTAAGTAATGTCCGGATATTTGTCACAGATGATGCGTACAAAATTGTGGTTGATGAATTGATTTTTGAAAAATTATGAATAAATGATTCCTAAAGAAAGCATTAACTTGAGCAGAAAAATTTACGACTGTCTGTCAGCATTGACAACGTTCTAGGTGAGTCGGTACGCTGGCAAGCAATCTTTGTTGAGGGTAATGCATATAGATTTGTGGTTGATTCTAATAAACTCTAACGATTAAGGTCGTGTGCTTCTGGACATTCATTTGTTCGTGTTGGCAGTAGATAATATTTAAAGCAGATATTTATGTGCGCGCACTACCCACGCTACGAATGCAAGGACACCATATATAAACCCATGAACAAACATACACGTGCGTGCGACCTTCGCGTGTGCGTTTGTGTGCGTGTATAGTAAACACATACACAATAAAAACAGGTTTGGGGGAAGGATTACCACAGCTTGTAATTATAGAGTGGTAGAATGGGTATAGCACTACGACTTACGCAGAAAATGAGCATATGCGAAAAATGCACTCACACACGTTGTGCAATAAATTTTGTTAAATGCTTGCTTATAATAACGAGACTTTACGCTTGTAGAAGCCCGAATATTGATAATAATGCCCACACGCTAAATATTGGTGCACTCACCGAAGATAATTAAGTCGTCGCATGCGAATTAATTGGAGCAAACTACCATAGTGTTGGTCACTTCCTTCCTAATAAGTAAGTGTGATTTGCACTGTTCTCCGTCGTGCGTCATCGGAATCATTTGGGAAGTAATTCAACGATACGTTGCCATCTTTTCACCACGATGTCACGCATTATGACACACTGCAGTAGTCTCTCGACATATCACTTCCTTCTTTTACAGGCTCGCACGTGCGGCATGGAGAAAACAAAGGAACTAGGTCGCCAATTATTAATGCGCGCAACATGACAACACATCTTCTTTCAAGGTTGACCTTGTTAGCGCCATTTCACGGCGTGGCTGATAGATCTCGAGTGCTCAGTTGGAGTCACCAATTGGTGATTTGAAGCATAAGGCCGGGCGAGGTAGTATTTTTCTCTCTAGTTAAGCTTACGTTCATGTTCAGTGGTATTGAACATAGTCGGATGTCTACGCACCTAGTATCAATGAAATTGTTTAACAAGTAAAAAGTAATAATGAAAAAATAAATAAATTGTGGTAAAGCCTTTGAACAGTGGGTCATCCTCTTCAGCGCCTTCTAGTGGGTCGCCCTTTTTCTTAAGAAGAAGAGCAGCTCGTGCAGAGAGTCGATCCCCGCATTGACTGTCGCTGTCGTGAATCATCGCTGAGTGTCCGTCAATAAACCGCTTAACAATTTGGTGGAGAGTGCTGAGAGTGCTGTGCCCTTCAAACACCTTCGGTCAGCATTCGATGCCCTTGGAGCTTCGATCCCGTACCGTGCCTCCAACCATGTACCAAGACGCCGCCCAGCAAACCCTTCCTCCTACGTCGCCGCCATGTCCCGGTGTCCCCCGCATCCGCGACCCTCCTGTCTTCACCGGCGCGGATGGCACCGACGTCGAGGACTGGCTTGCCATGTACGAACGTGTGAGCGTCCCCAATCATTGGGATGAGGCAGCTAAACTAGGCAACCTGTTCTTCTACCTTGCGGGTGTGGCCGGAATGTGGTACAATAACCACGCATCTGATTTCCCGACTTGGTCCGCTTTTAAAACCGCTGTCGTCGACGTGTTCGGCCGCCCTGCTGTTCGTAAGCTGCAAGCTGAACAGCGTTTACGTGAACGAGCCCAGCAGACCGGTGAGTCCTTCACAAGTTATATCGAGGACATCCTTGACTTGTGCAAGAAAGTCGACCCGAACATGTCAAAGGCTGACAAAATCACGCATGTTCTTAAAGGCATCGCCGACGATGCCTTCACCAAGCTCCTGGCAAAGAACCCCCGCACTATGGCAGAAGTCATCATGTTATGCCAAAGTTACGACGAGCTGCGGCGGCAGCGCTTGATGACCCGTCGTCCGCCACCACGTGATGCTGATCTCTCGGCCTTGTCAGCAGTTCCAGACCACGCAACCTTGCTCGCCGAAATCAAGTCGTTCGTGCGTGAGGAAGTTGCCCGCCAGGTCTCTCTACTGGCTTTTGCTTCCCCACAACAAGCTCAACAGCCATCAAGTACACTTCTACCTCCGCTCCGCCGAGCCATTCAGCAGGAAATCGCGGAGGTCGTCCCTGAATACCACCAGCCACCTCCTGCATCTGTGCCACTCAGCTACGCCCAAGTTGTTGCCAGGCCGCCCCCACCGATTTCTGTCACTGTTCCGCTAAATTACACCGAAACCGTCGCGAGGCCCCAGGCCTTTGGACAACCTGTCTCGCCTACATACGCCGGCGTCACCCACGTGCCCCGAGTGCCGCCTACCATGCACTCATATCAGCAGCCGGCTCGCCAATTGCGTTCTGCGACATGGATGCGACCAGCAAACCAATGGCGCACTGCTGATAATTGCCCCATCTGTTTTGCTTGCGGTTGCGTCGGTCATGTGGCACGATATTGCAATCGTGTGCAGCAACCGCAGGTCGCCTCCAACTTTCCCAGCCAGTCAAGACGCTCTTATGACCAACCGCCGCCTATGTCACCGTCGTCCCGCCCCGTTCCGTCTACCCGCCGTTCACCATCTCCACGACGTCGCTCACTGTCACCGATGCGGCCACGTCCACTCGAG